TGTAGGGCGCCCGGTTCCGCCCCGGTGGGCTGAGGGGCTCGGCCGCCGGGGAGGCGGGGTTCCCAGGGGGTCCCAGGATGCGGGGAAGAAAGTTCTGGGGATGCGGAGCAGGGGGTCCCGGAATGAGGGGCAAGGGTTCCCCGGGGATGCGGGGCAGGGGGTCTCGGGATGCAGAGCAGGAGGTCCCAGGATGCAGGGCAGGGGGTCACATGATGCGGGGCAGGAGGTCTCCGGGATGCGGGGCAGGAAGTTCCGAGATGAGGAGCAGGGGGTCTCCGGGATCCAGGGCAGGGGGACCGCAGAATGCGGGGCAGGGTGTCCCAGGATGCGGGGAAGAAGGTTCCGGGGATGTAGGGCAGGGGTTCCCCGGGGATGAGGGGCAGGAGGTTCCGAAATGACGGGCAGGGGGTCTCCACGATCCGGGGTAAGGGGTCCCAGGGATGCGGGGCAGGGGGACCGCAGAATGTGGGGCAGGGGGTCCCCGGGATGCAGAGCAGGAGGTCCCGGGGATGCGGGGCAGGAAGTCCCGGCGATACGGAGCAGGGAGTCCCCGGGGATGCGGGGCAGGAGGTCCCGGGATGAGGGGCAGGGGGTCACATGATGCGGGGCAGGGGGTCACATGATGCGGGGCAGGAGGTCCCGCGATGCGGAGCAGGGGGTCACGGGATGCGGGGCAGGGGGTCACGGGATGAGGGGCAGGAGGTTCATGGGATGTGCGACAGGGGGTCCCAGGATGCGGGGAAGAAAGTTCTGGGGATGCGGAGCAGGGGGTCCCGGAATGAGGGGCAAGGGTTCCCCGGGGATGTGGGGCAGGAGGTTCCGAGATGAGGGGCAGGGGGTCTCCAGGATCCGGGGTAGGGGGTCCCAGGGATGCGGGGCAGGGGGTCACATGATGCGTGGCAGGAGGTCCCGCGATGCGGAGCAGGGGGTCACGGGATGTGGGGCAGGAGGTTCCGGGATGCAGAGCAGGGGGTCCCGGAATGAGGGGCAAGGGTTCCCCGGGGATGTGGGGCAGGAGGTTCCGAGATGAGGGGCAGGGGGTCTCCAGGATCCGGGGTAGGGGGTCCCAGGGATGCGGGGCAGGGGGTCACATGATGCGTGGCAGGAGGTCCCGCGATGCGGAGCAGGGGGTCACGGGATGCGGGGCAGGGGGTCACGGGATGAGGGGCAAGGGTTCCCCGGGGATGTGGGGCAGGAGGTTCCGAGATGAGGGGCAGGGGGTCTCCAGGATCCGGGGTAGGGGGTCCCAGGGATGCGGGGCAGGGGGACAGCAGGCTGCGGGGCAGGGTACCCTCCTTCCCTCCCTTCCCCCGTGTGAAAGCCGGACGGGAACCGTGGGAGCAGGGAGTGATTCACCAAAATGTGGAGTTCTTTTACCTCAGAGGCAATTATACTTTAATGATTCAGCTGGCCTTTTTTTTTTTTTTTTCTTCCCTGCTTATTTTGGGTTGGTTTTGTGGGTTTTTTTGTGGCCGCCCACCCACCCCTGATGTCCAGCTGGGGACAGCAGAGCTGGACTCCCCGAGGAGAGCCAGCAGATGGGCTCGGGAGAGGGGGACACTCCAGCCTGCATGGGACCTCTCATGTTGTAAATCAACATGTTGTAAATCAAACACGTAATTTCAGGAGGAAAAAAAAAAAAAACACAACCAAAAACCAACATTATGGTGACTTACCATAATTCCACCTAATGCTTCTCCCCAAAAAGGAGAGAAAAATGCTGAACTCAGCATAAGCATATCTAAATTTGTAGACAGGTAGTGACTGAGGAGCTTCCTTCCACCCTGGGATAGGGCTTCGTATCCGAAGTGTGTACAGTCTCTTTCCCTCTGGTTGTGCAGTGTGTTGTCAGTTCTCAGTGCACACTTTGTAATGATCACACTCCTGCCTGATGGCTGTGGTGCCTTCCACGTTAAATATATCATCTGTTATCACCTTATTCTAACACATGCCGGCAAATCTGGACCAGCAAAGGGGAGAGCAGCATTCCTCAGAAGTCTGAGACATGGCATTTCCAGCTGTTCAGCATGTTTGGACTCAGGGAGCAAAGGGTCGCTTTCAAGTGTCAGATTTCTGTCTGTTCCTCCGGATATTGCAGGACCTGTAATTTGGTTGGTGCTTGTGTTTGATGTCAGCGAGCGAGAGGACAGGTCTGCAGGCACCTCCAGAGACCTTGAAGTCAGTAAGACCCAGCTGTGCATCATGGAAGGAATGAATAAAAAGGCTTATATGTGCCCACCGAATCCCTTTTAGATGCAATGTCTCTGCAAGTGAAAACTCGAGAGATTTTCTCTGGAATTTATGGAAAGTGTCACTGTGGAAGAGATATGGAAACTTCACCCTCCTGTGCTGTCAGTAGATGATGAAATGTTGATGAAGGGTGTGATGTGAACCAGCAGCGCTTTCACCACTGCTCTTGTCCTCTCTCTGGAAAAGCTGGGGCTTGTAAATCTACAGAGGAAGTGATCTGTTCAGTTCTTGCTAGTGACCTCTGGTTTTCCTCCAGCACTGGACCAGGTGCAGCATCACCGTATCTTGCTTCTCTAGTCATATTTTCATGCCATAAGATGCTTCTCATTTGTCCTTTTGGAAGTGCTGACGTTTAAAATAAATCTTCAGATGATTTATGCTCTCAAACAGCTCCCCTCCCCAAAAAAAAAGGTCCCAGGCAGGTGACAGTAAGAGCCAGGGTGGTTTTGGGAACAGAGCAAAGCATCTGGGGGATTAATTGCAGTAGTGCTACGAGGTGAGAAGCATCTCTGGGATAGATTTCCCCTTGCATTTGGTGTATGTGCATAAAACCCATGCTGCCACGCGTTTTTACACATGAACCACAAGTTACATGTAGAAAAATGTGACAGTCATGAGGTGGGCAACCGTTTTGTGGGAGATTGCAGTGGATTACAGTACAAGAGCTGCCCATCCTCGCGACAGAACTTTGGGAGGTGTGTCTTGCAAAGCAGATGATGTTCAACTTTGCTCCTTACCTGTGTTGCCTGGTTCTTCTAAAATTCATAGATTCTTAGAATCATGGAATGGTTCAGATTAGAAGGGACCTTAAAGACCATCCAGTTCCAACCCCCTGCCCTGGGCAGGGACACCTCCCACCAGACCAGGTTGCCCAAAGCCCCATCCAACCTGGCCTTGAACCCCTCCAGGGATGGGACATTCTATCAGTGCATTCTTAAAGAGGGGTAGTACCTGCTCCTTTTCCTGCTTAAAACAGTGTTACACTGATCTTATGACTGCTGATTTATGGAATTTTCTCCCCATTTCCAGTAGAAATGGAAGAAGAGAATAAGGCCCTGAAGCTCTTCGAATCTCAGTCGCCTGCACACCTCTGGAGAGTCAGCCGATGTCAAGACCAATATTCCAGCCTTTAAAAGTCAACACTGATATTGCTAATGCCCAGTAAAACAAACATTTTAATGCATTAATTATGAAGGTGGTTGCTTCTGAGATTATAGCAAGAATCAGTAATTAGCCTCATGAGCGCTCCTCCCTTTTAATTTATTTAAAGGCAGGGAATCCTGCTATTTGAAAGTTGGGAGGTTGGCAGTATTATCCAGTTGGGAGATCGCAGCGTTATCCTACTTTCCCTTCCAACCTACACCTTTCAGTTCATAGCATGAGAAGTAATTTATTTGCTGTAATAAGCGAGGCAGTGGGAGGATTAGACTGTAAGCTTATGTTCTGCAGATTTGATGCAATTAAAGAGAAGGCAGCCATTTTTTTTTCAGTTCTCGCCTTTGGACAGGAACTTTTTCTAAGATCCTGACTCATTTTGATACTGACTTTGACTAGAATTTGTCTAGAATTTGTGACACTTAACTGTCCTGTGTGACAGGGAGATGTGTGAAATATCCAGAATTTGGAACATGAATGAAATTGAAGGTTGAAAGGATCCCCACTGGAGGTGAAGAGCCGGAGTCAAATCCGGACCATTACAGTAAAAATAAACCACACTAGAATTTTTTATTTTTGCTGAGACTTAATGTGACTAATACTGTGAATCAGTTATCTTACATAGCTTACTTTCCACATCATATTAAACTAAAACAAAATTAATCTGCAGCTGTTATGCATCTAATTCTGATTAAGACATAAAGTAAATCTTCGGTCCATCATTTGTTCATACGCAATTAGTATTTTTTTTTACAGTGCAATCAGTGAGAATTTGGTCTCCATAAGCAGTGAATAAGGATATCAGGTGTTCCATAGTGATAATAAATGGTGTGTTAGTCAATAAATAAAAAACATGTAACTGCAAAATAGGTCTAGGTCTCTTGCTTAATGGGTGGCTTCTGCCCCTAAAAGTACAAAATAAAAGACATTTACTTTATACAAGAGAAAGTGCTTAAGCAATCCAAGGCCTAAGCAGTGTCTAAATATTAAATCACAAGCCTGTTACCTGTAATTGACAGGTAAAAGCGAGCAACCAAAATTCACAGAATCAAGAATGCTATGGGTTTGGAAGGGACCTCTGGAGATTATCTGGTCCAGCCCCCTGCCAGAGCAGGTCCACCCAGAGCAGGTCCCACAGGAACGTGTCCAGGTGGGTTTGGAATGTCTCCAGAGAAGGAGACTCCACCACCTCTCTGGGCAGCCTCTGCCAGGGCTCTGCCACCCTCACAGCAAAGAAGTTCCTCCTCATGTTGAGATGGAACTTCTTATGTTCCAGTTTGTGCCCGTTCCCTCTTGTCCTGTCCCTGGGCACCACTGAAA